ACTTTATAGTGGTGGGTTTATCTAATGTGGTTGTTTTCTGGTGAATGTAGTAAGTCTTGGCTCTGGACCAGCGTTGTGCCATTACAGAAGTAGTGATCGAGTCAGAAAAAGCCGCACAGATCTACGCCACTCTGTAAATTAGCATTTGTGAACTCACACACATTGGCTCGAGACTGTGGAAGGCTGTGTTGATTTAGCATCCAGGAGCGAGCAGAGCTAGTAGAAGCTAGCAGAAGCAAACCGTTAGCATTAGAAACTCCACAACCTGGCGGAACACGTACAAGCTTGTGTTATTTGTGGAGATAAAACATCATAGTTTGTTTGTTTTTACCCAAGAATGAAGAGTGAATGTAGGCAGAGTTGTTTTGCTGTTAGCCTATCAGAGGCAAGATGTTCGCATATCATGAAACAGGAACGCCAGAGCAGAACGACACACAAAACGACTCACAAAGCATTCATTCATACCAGAGACCAGAGATTTATTGAAATAATTAATGTAAGGCAACTTTAAAGCTGGGATAAAGCTACTTGCAAGATTTATTTTATTATCAAGCAGTTATCACATTATAGTTCATGCTGCAAGATTTCAGAAGTGACTGGATGACAATCAGCAGGTCCAAAACAGCCTACTCCAGGTCGAGGAAGTGGTTCTTCCTCAGGGGAGGAGCTTAAATTTCTCCAAGTCTAAATTCATAATAGAAGGTAGTGGAAGATATACATTTGGCTCAGGGTACTGTCTAGTACCGTCTACTGAATCACTCTTTAATGTAATGTCATGCTTTTTTTTTTTGCACTTCTGTTAGAGCCCTTGAGGTATGACATCACCACAACTAGTGCAAAATAACTAGATAGCTACTGTGCTAAATTATTTAGGTCCAGAAATAAAATCAATTGGACAATTACAGATCCTACATTAACAGAAATGGCTGCAACAAGCTAGTTACAAGCAGCTGCAAAGTAAATGTGTTGGCTTAGCAACGCCTGATTGTGCAATTTATTTATTTATTGTTCTTTTGTGCAATAAACGCAGCCTTTTTTGTTCTCACAAACTGTGGTTTTTGTGAGTTGCATGCAGGGCTTAATAAACATCCAATTCCTTCTGTAGGACAATTTTGCTCTGTGCGCTGAATAAGGCAGTGTATGCAAAACAGCCTGTTCTACCCCCAGAGGAGAGCCTATTAGTATTCACACACAGACCTCTGCAGAGATCAACACATGTTCAGGCAAACGAGACACACACACACACTCACACACACACACGCACACGACTCATCAATAATGTGCCCACTGTGATGCTGTTGTCTTTCCTCTCATGTTTATGCAAATCCATCTGCACATGGATATTACTGTTTTTAAGATTTGACAGGCTATGTTTCTCTCTGTTCCTATTGGGTCTAACTAAAAGTAATATCAGCATTACACACTAAAGATAAATCAATACATTAAACAGATTGATAATTTCTACTATGAGTCCAGACACAAGGGTGAGGGGTACACAAACTGGGTAAATGTCGTCAGGAGTTCGAGTCACACAAAGAAAATGCGTCCTTCCTAGCAGTAATCAGTAGTGTACAAAACACACGTCCACGTTGGACTCATCTAAATGGAAGAAATAGTTTGGAAATAGAATTAGACCGTGTCCAGATACCCAAAATCCCATCATCCAGCATAACTGGATTCGATGACATGCAAGCTCATAGAAAATGAACAGCTGTCTTATTCATCGTCCCTTCATCCTGACTTTAGGTTGTCCAAACACGTTCTTCTGGGTGTGGTGCCGGTCATGCAGACAGCTGAGCTGCCTCCACTGACATGCATTTTATTTGTTTGTGCATCAGAGTTGGTTCTTTGACGTGCCTTGTGATTTTTATGTTGAGAGGCGCTAAATATAAGGCCATTCTTCTTCTTTGGGAATCTGGAGGTTTGTGTCATAACTTGTTTGTATTTGTTAGTTTTGCAGTCAAGTCACTTTCTGTCAAGTCCAAGTCCTCTGTGTTCAAGTTCATGTCAAGTCCAAGTCACATAAGATCAGTCAATATCAAGTCACTAGGTCCTACAAGACACAAGCAGATAGCGATAACAGTGGTTCAGACATTTTTCTCACAGATAAATAAAAACATACATACAAATACATGTTTGCAAACAGGAGCGGGTGTGTGACGACGAGAACATTGAGCTGCTGGTGGTAAGCTGTCGTCCCTACTACCTCCCGAGGGAGATCTCCCACATAATTGTAACTGTTGTTTATATCCCACCGTCGGCCAACGGCAAGCGAGCTATAGAGACAGTTTCTAAAGTGACACGTAAGTTACAAAGCTCTTCCCCGGATGCACTGTTCATTATTACAGGGGATTTTAATCACTGTTCTCTCTCCTCTACGCTCCCGTCCTTCAAACAAATGGTTAAATGTCCCACGCGGGGGAAGCGGATCATTGACCTATTTTATACGAGCATTAAGGATAGTTTTTACTCGTCAGCCCTACCCCCACTTGGTAATTCTGATCACAATCGTGTACTATTGCGGTCCAGGTATACACCCGCTGTACAGAAACGGCCGGTTACGTTTAGGACGATACGCGTGTGGACGGAGGAGGCGTGTGAAACCCTGAGGGGATGCTTCGAATGTACAGACTGGTCTGTTTTTACTGAAGGATGTGACTGTGATGATGTTGATGACATTGCTGACAAAGTGACTTGCTATGTTCATTTCTGTACTGATTTGGTGCTGCCTTGTAAACAAGTTAAGGTTTTTGCTAATAATAAACCATGGGTGACCAGAGAGGTTAAGGCAGCAATTAACAGGAAAAAGCTTGCTTTTTATAGTGGGGACCCAATGCAAATTAAGGTGGCACAAAGGGAGCTTCAAACGCTGATCCGACGAAGTAAACAGCAATATAAAGATACGATTGAAACCTCTATTGATGGCTCTAATTCTAAGTATCTTTGGGACAGGATGAAAACCATGGCTGGTTATGGGGGTAAGACAGGTTTACACAGCACCGGGATGGAGGTGAATGAGATGAACCAGTTTTTTGCCAGATTTGATGTGCGTGCTTTTACACATGAACACGACAAACTTAAATCGGCACTTGCCTCAGATCAGGTTGAGAACGCATGCCCAGAGATCAGCTTTAGGGTTGAAGATGTCCAGCAGCAGTGTAGTCAGCTAAATCCTAACAAGGCAGCAGGCCCTGATGGTGTCCATCCATGCACCCTTAAAGTTTGTGCAGAGCAGCTTGCAGCTGTCTTTCATTACAGTTTCATGTTGTCCTTGTCTGCTGCTAAAATACCTGTAATGTGGAAAACTTCTTGTCTTGTGGCGATCCCTAAGAAAACAGGTGTCAGCTGTACGTTGTCCAATCTTAGGCCTATTGCGTTGACATCACACCTAATGAAATGTTTTGAGAGACGTCCTTAAATGCCTAAGAGAAAAGGTTGTTTCCTTCCGAGATCCTCTTCACTTTGCATATAGGAAGGGTGTGAGTGTAGATGATGCCCTTCTGTATCTGCTGGACATTATTTATAAACACCTTGAAAAAGCCAGTAGTTCAGTGCGACTTATGTTCTTTGATTTTTCTAGTGCTTTTAATACCATTCAGCCTCATATTTTAGGATATAAGTTATTGAATTTTAAGCTGCACAATTCCACCACTGCCTGGATTTTAGACTATCTCTTAAACAGGCCTCAGTTTGGGAGGGTTGGGGGTAAGTGCTCGGACTTGATTTTTACAAACTGGTGCACCACAGGGTACAGGTTTAGCTCCTTTTTTATTTACACTGTATACAGCTGACTATAGGCACAGTTTACCATCTTGTCACTTACAGAAGTTCTCTGTTGACACTGCCCTACTGGGCCTGATCTCCCGGGGTGATGATCTGGCTTACAGGGAGGAAGTTAAGTCCTTTGTTAGATGGTGTGATGTAAATTTTCTACAACTCAATGTTGGCAAAACACACAAGAGCTAGTTATTGATTTTAGAAAGAAAAAACAAACATTCTCTCCCGTGGTCATCAAAGGCCAACCTGTAGAAATTGTGGAGACATATAAATATCTAGGAGTGTACCTCGACGATAAGTTAACTGGAGAAAGAATAGCGAGGCTGTTGTTAAAAAGGCTCAGTTCAGACTGTTTTTTCTTAGGAAGCTAAGATCCGTTGATATAAGTAGGAGGCTCTTGAATGTGTTTTATCAGGGGATTATGGCCAGTGTGTTGTTTTATGCTGTGTTGTGTTGAGGCAGGAGCCTCACTGCTGAGGACAAAAACAGGATCAACAAAATGATCAAGAAATCAGGCTCGGTGGTTGGGCAAGGCTTGGACTCATTTGACATGATCATCAACAATAGGATGAAGAGTAAACTTAAGATAGTTATGTCTCTGAAGGATCACCCCCTTCATCAGCTTTTTAAGGATATCAGGAGATCTTTTAGTGGGCGAATGTTAATGCCCTGTTGTTCCACTGCACGTTTTAGGAACTCTATTATTCCTGCCATGTGCGTTTTTACAACGAGCATTTTGTATGATTGTATATTTGATATTTCTATCATGGTTGTGGCTTATAGCAGTGTCCAGTGAATTTTTTGTTGCATGTGTGTGCATGTTGTTGTTGTTGTTTTTACATGTCCAAGGCAATTCAATTTCCCCCTTGGGGATTAATAAAGACAACCTTGAACCTTGAACCTTGCCTTGTTTGTTTTATGGAAGGGTTTTTTTCCACACATTCCATGTATTTTTTTCATAGGGTGTTTAAACCTTAGTTGGTGCCTTTGAAGGTGTGTCTGCCAGTAGCCCTTTTGGTGCTCTGTTTGTTTCAGATAAGCTCTTTTTTATGTATGGGTGTGTTTGGTTGAGAACTGCCTTCTCTTTTATTTCCCTCCTTTCCTAAACATCAAATTATTGGGCGTTGTTCCACACACTAACATCATTACTTGCTTCACATATTAAGTAATACAAACTTGAATCGATTAGGGTGAATCTTTTCTCCATGTCTGTCTCTGCACAGAAACGGGACATATAGACCCCGTCCTCATTGAGCGCCACAACACCCCCGGTTTCGTTGGGTGTCTGTCACGGGTGCAGTTCAACGGAGTTGCTCCCCTCAAGTCTGCTCTGAGGAAAGCCGCACAATCTCAGGCAACTCCAACAGACGGCCAGGCCGACAAACATCCTGTGGCCTCGTCTCTTGTGTCTCACCAGGGCAAACTGGTGGAGTCCAACTGTGGGGCGTCACCTCTCACCATCCCAACGATGTCTGCTGCCACAGATCCCTGGCATCTGGGCAATCCAAGTGGGTACTCACAGGGATTTGGCAGGTGTTCATATAGAAGCTGCCTTTTTAGAAAATCGGAGACCAGATTGATTAAAATCATGAGTTGTTGGTTTTCGTTTTGTTTTCCTGCAACATTTTAAATAAAAATACACCTTTCTGTCCTTGACAGAGTACTTTTAAATTTTATCAACACAAATACATTTGAGTTCAAAAAAAAGAAGTGTTTATTTATTTTTCTTTTGTTTTATTCTGTCTGCTGTCAGATGCAAAGTCTCCCTCCAATGAGGAGAGGGTCATTCCAGATGGAGTCAACAGGGATTCAGCAATCATCGGAGGTAGGAAACCATTAAGAAATATAAATTTGTAATGCTGAAACACCTGTCTTACCCCAGTCAAAGGTTAAAACAATAATTAGTATCCTGATGACTTAAAAACTACTTTAAACTTTTGACACTAATACAAAACTTTCTGCCTCTACTTAGGCTCCACCTACAAATTATATAAACAATGTTTACAAAAAGTAAAATGGTCTATTACACTCGATACTTACTACTCAAAGATCACATTTAAAAACATCATTAGCATTTAATTCAATGCTCTGGATAGCCTTTAACCTTCTTGACAGGTATAGATTTCATTGCATCATCTGCATATATGTGCTTGGTAATTCAGTTCCGATCATTGAGGGCCACGGCACTAATTTTTTCCATATCCTCAAGTTCTTCCAAAGCCTCCTAAATTATTCCAACCGGTGAAACATAGAAAACATGCAGGTAGTCCTCGAGGACCAGGATTGAATAACCTGATATTAGGCAGATTCTTAATTTACAAGGCATAAAAGGGTGTGTCCAAGTGTTGATCCTTGAGGTACTCCAACTGTGCACAGCTGATTTAATCAATACCATATAATCAGGAATGAAACTAAAAATGTTCATTTTGATCTAACCACTAAACACTTAAAAATACACAAGGGAGCCATGTTGGATTTCAGACACAAGGAAACGTACACTTTAAAATTGAATAGGCCATTTATGGTGTAAATATGATATAAATTATAAAGTTTTTGCTCTCCATAATTATGTTTGTTATGTACCAGTCAATCCCCCTCTACAAGATACACCTCTGTTTTATACTTCTTGGCTTTGGTTTAGGGTATAAAGAAGCAATTTGCATGTTGAGAGGGATTTTTTAATTAAATTAAAAAAATGTTTGTATGTGCTAAGAAACCAAAAAAAACAAGCTTTAGAGTTTTAGGATGCAAATTCAATGAACATTTTCATGTCTTTTATTATTCTTTAGTGCAGAATGAGACGAAAAGAAACCGTGAACTGCATGTCATTACTGTAACCATCAACATATATTTACATTAAGGGTGGGACTCGATTAAAAAGATTAATCTAATTAATTACATGCTGTGTGATCAATTAATCTTGATTAATCGCATTTTAATTATTCAAGAAATCTTTCCCCAAAGCATTTTTTAATCAAAAATAATGAGGCAGGTAATCAAGCCATAGATTTGGACTTTATTTTTGTAAACTCAAGCTGTTTAAATATCTAATAAAATGATTTAAAATTGTATTTCAAAAACAAATTACAAATAAAAATGCTGGATACACACACACACACACACACACACACACACACACACACACACAAATATTAGTTTACATTTTTAACACAAATATTAGTTTACATTTTTTAAATCATGCTGATTCAGCAAATCAGTTTTTCTAATTTATGTGCTTAACTAATGATGCACAGTTGCAGGTTTGATCTATTGGTGGTACATGTGTCCTTCAGGTATTATTGCCGTGGTGATCTTCACCATCCTGTGTACGCTGGCGTTTCTGATCCGCTACATGTTCCGCCACAAAGGCACCTACCACACCAATGAGGCTAAGGGCAGCGGGGAGTCTGCCACAGAGCCGGCGGACACGGCCATCATCGGCACGGACAACCCAGAAACCATTGATGAGTCAAAGAAAGAGTGGTTCATTTAACAGCTGATGGTGGAACTCCGAGACAGGAAGCTGTTTGTGAGACAGTATCAGTTGCCACAGACGGAGGAGGTTTAATCAAACGACCGTTCACTGGAGATACTGAGAACTGATTAATCAACAGGACTTCAAACTCGTTGAGAAGGTGGGATGCAAGGCGGAGGGGCTGTTCCTTTGTTTATTTGTTTTTATATCCAGAGTGTCCGAAAAATACGGAGAAAGAGACTCTTATTTAGTGGAGCACAGCTGTAAAGAACTCAATGTACATACTAACCAGCTTATCCTTCTTTGTATCGTGCTTGGGAGTTTTCAGGAGTCCTTTGAATACTGTGTACGACAAATAATTACACTTACTGAATGGTGTGATAGCAAAGATTTATTCCTTGTTTGAGTTTGATTTTATATTTAACAAAAATTATTCTATCTAAAAAAATGATCAACATGCCAAACCCTTTTTTTAATGTTTTATTTTACTTTTAAACTGTGGTTGCACCAGTCTGTCAACACTCACGTCCTCTGAATGATGCACATCTTATATATTGTGGTAACATAGATTTAAATATGAATGCCAAAAGTCTTTTTTTTTTGTAAATACAATATTTTGTGTTAATTCATTTTTGTTCCTTAAGATTTATTTAAAGCCTGAACACAAATGAGAAATATATCTATTTTACTGTTCATTATAAAGTATATATACATATATAAATATAAGTGATATACAAAGTTGTATGTTTAGGTTTCATGATATTAAATTGTATGAGACATTTCCTCTCTGTTTTAGTGCAAAGAGGTGTTTCACGACGGTTAGTTGAGCTCATCATCACGGCAGCTTTCTTTAAATCCAGAATGAGTAAAACTCAACAGGATATTCTAGCCTTGAGCCAAATTTAGCCTGTTGCCATATACCCCAGAGTTGTATAAGTGGGAAAAATCATTTTGCAGCCAGCCCAGCCCTTCTAATCTGGCAGCATTCTGTTAGCTTTAGCTTAGCATAAACAATGTAAGTAAATGGTAACAGCTAGCATTTTGTGTGGAAAAAGCCATGAAAATGATTTGATAATTCTCCTAATTTGGTGACGTCAAAATCAAATCGACTGACAAAGGCAATAACAGAAATCGATTTAGACTTGGGACAACGTTACGACAAAGCACCGCTGTATTATTGAGGAATTTTCATGAATTTTTCACATGAAATGCTAGCTGTTACCATTCACTCACATTGTTTATGCTAAGCTAAAGCTAAAAGACTACTGCCAGATTAGGTGAATGACAAGGATGGTTACAAACTAATTGCAGTGCAAACAGTGATATCAAACGTGATTTTCTTTGTTTTGGTTTAATGGTGGATGTCATACACAAACCATGACCTTTAAAGTCTGAATAAATTATGTGATCTCCTGAGTCCAGGGAGGAGGATGGTGGAGATGCCGCTCTGCATCTGAGACTCCTCCCGTATGGATTTGCTCGCCGCAAAGCACGCAAGTAAACCGTCCCACGGATGCCTCCAGTGTGGACCCAGCATAACTCTGGGGAAAATGGCGACAAACTAAATTTTACTTAGGGGTGGAAGATTTATTTAAAGGTTTCTCTCAGACAGTGAGTGGTCAGATTATTTATTTTGTTGAATCTTACCTCTTTTTTTTTTTTTTTTTTTTGCATTCAATGTTTATCTTTGAATAGTGTTTTGTTTTTGGGTTTTGTTGTGTTTCTTTTTTTGCATATCCAGCGTGTGCATGCATCAGTGTGTAGATGACACACTGGTTTGAACAAGTGCCAGAGGAGGCAGCTTTTACACATGAAATCGAACCATTGCTTTAGGAGTTTCATTGATGAATTAAGTCGAATGAAGCAGCATGAATCCAACAAACGAACACGCTAGATCTCAGAACTCCTGGGTTGAGGTTAGGATGATAATTGGCTTAAGGATCCACTGTGCCTTGGAGGTGTTGAGCCATATCGCCTTTCCCACGCTGCTTGATTCAAAACCCCCACCACTAAAACTTGACTGCTGCGAGAAATCTTTTCAGGAATTCTTTTGCAAATGGTGCTTTTTAAAATTTCTGTCTTAAACTTTGGTTTCAGAATAAGCTGGCGGGGGAAACAAACATCTATTCTTCCTTCAATCATCAGAAGGCTTGGGAAAATTAGCATTTATTTCATAAAGCATGGGTGGAAATTGATGGTGGCATCAGAGTGGCACAACGTTCAAATGCTGTTTTTATTTTCCTTTCACTTATGTTTACTTGTTTATTTTACAGTTGAACTCAACTGCCAAGTCAATATTTAATGTTTTTGTGATTTGGTTTTTAATG